TTTATTTAGATAGCGTTGTGCCCCTTTGAGCGACATGAAGCCTTCACACTCCAGCTGTCGTCCCCCCCCCTTGTACTGGTTTATTCAAATGGCCATCACGCACTGACAACGTCTTCGCTTGATTTCCGAATACCCCTGCCTCCCCTTCCCTCCTCACAAGCCCTTTTCCTCTGGTTAGCGGCAGATCCTTGCTCCAAGCCATCCTTGCCTTTTTGCTGGTCTTGCTCTATTGTTTTCTCCGATTTTGCTTAGGCAGTAGGCAAAGTTATCGCTAACTCTACTTTCCTCCAATCTCCTGTTCATTAGATTTGTATCCCCAAAGATATCAACGGCCTCCCTAATCTTCCGCTTCCTTGTGTTGTCACCGTATTAAGCTTTCCTTTCTGTTGTTTTCTAATTAATATCGTGTCCAGTTCATGCGATGTGTTCAGCTATTTCTGATCTTCCAGTATCCATTTTCTTGCAGAGCCTCTGATGTTCCTTTATTCGTGTGCTAATTTTTCTTCCTGTTTCGCCAATATATTTCTGTCCGCAGCCGCCGCATGATATACAGTAAACTCCTGAACAGTCCAATTTGTCTACCTTTTCATGTTGCGTTAGTAGACTTGTAAAATGTGTTGATTTTTCCTTCATGGCCACCTGAATATTCCATTTACTCAATATTGGCTGTAGTTTTTGAGGTAGTTCGCAGGAAGGCAGGCATATCCACTTTTGTGAAGCTTTAATCGTCCTTATTGTTCTTTCATATTCCCCGTTCTGCCATCGGCTTTTCACGGCCCGTATGTTTCTTTATATTACTGCGCTTGGGTAGCCATTGCCGATGAAGATCCTAGTCAATTTCCCACTAGTCTAAGGAACCCACTCCTCGTCCCAGAAATCTGCATCCGTCAGGCAAAGGCTTCGGATGATCATGCTCCTCATTATCCCAATCTTTATCCTGTAATTGTGATGGGAGCGTAAATGGAGTACTATCCCAGAATAGGACTTCTTTCTGTACAATTTCTTCTTCAGTGTT